TCCATTAAAGCGTGAGATTCTTAGATCTCTTTGCGAAAAGATAGTATAAATCCTCAAGCTTATTTGATTAAGAGTGCCCATTCATCATTCGAGACCAAACAGAAAATCCGGTCTCAATAAAGAATTCCCTATAGCTAGTCAATAGTGATGAGGGCTGCCCTCAACGACAAATCGATCAATATATCATTGCCGTGACTTTGCGGGAATTATTTGGGAAACTAGCTACAGACCACTCTATAATTTAGTGCGGAGGAAAGTTTAGAGGATTAGCTAGGCATGGGGTCGTATATGGTCTGGAATCTTGCGTTGCAATTTCAAAACTACTCAATCCTAAAGAATTCCACGAAATTATGGTATAAATAATCGTTCAAAAATTCATACCAAATTTCATCAGGAATTCTGCCCACAACTCCCACGACAATTTTCAGAACATTTCATATTATGTAAAACACTAGTGCAGCTTAAAGCATCAGAAAGCGCGTCGGATCGGCACTGTCGGCATGCTGCAAGGCCCATCTGGAAAAGAATTTGCCCATCATGTAACTTCCAACTTATGCTGCTTTGCCCTTGTTTCGCTACCTCGTGGCTAGGTCAAGCACCAACCAAATTGGCCCATGTCTCAATTCATGCCGGAAAACGACTGCGAAACTATAGTGCACGAAAGCCGTGAGACAATTTCTGTGCAAGAGTTGCCGTTCTTCAGATTCGGGTTTTTGAACGGCCCCCCCATCGGGGATCAAGATTCTCGTTTGGTCGGGTCCGCCCCCGGCAATCCTCAGACCTTGTCCTCAGTGCTTGCTACACGCATGTCCCCGGAAAGAATTCTGTTGCAAAGGTGTCTATCGCAAGCCAGACAATTCTGTTACCAGCCTATGCCGCGGAATGGCCTCACAAGCTTCTATGAAAATTAACTGCTTGGATTCACGGATATTTCGCTGGTTGCCTCAACCGTTTGCTGGTCCAGTAAGAAAAGCAATCTTGCCACGTGAGTGGCCAATACCTTGCTTACCATGTCTTACCATGTGGCAAGAAACAGACTCACCCGCAGACGCAAACCTTCATTTTACGTCCACCGCGGCATCTCTTCTGGTTGCGCCTCGTCCGCGGAGAAGCAACGCCTGGCTTGAACACATGTTGTCTGTTTGTGAACTGGTAGTTTCCCTAAATGAGGAGACTGCAATGTAAACGCAAAATGCGACAACCGCCTTTTTATGCGGACCACCCAAACGGGGTACCCCCAATCTCGGGAAACCCCCACATGCCCTCTCAATTAAATTTGGCAAGGGCAAAGCTGACACATTTTGAAGCGACCCTTTCCCCAGCTGGCGTGCTCGAGGTGTCAGTGGTTATACTATATTGCTCAGTACTATTACATACTACTACTACTACTACTCAAACTCCTAAAAACAGCCAAAAGGCCATTATCTTACAGCCTTGTTGGGGTTAAGGTAGTCCTCAATGACAGAGTGGCCTGGAAAAGTCCTGCTTGGCCGGCTTAGCAGCAGGTGGGGTATACAAGGCTATTGAAGAACCTTTTACACAACACCACACATCTGTCAGCAAATGCAGGGCTCCTCAAGGAATGCTGCTGGCGAGGCCTGCGGGTGTGCAAGGATGCAACTTGAAAATTGACCAACTCCTGGCTTGCAAGCCCGGGCGCAACAGTACATATTTCTGAATTGCAACTTGAGATATCTTCGGACCATCCTCGATGTCTCGGACTACGCTCACAGTGCCGCTCAACATATCCGGGATCAACCTCTCATGAAAGCGTCGGCCCCCCACGATCCATGCAGTGCATCGATTCTCGGATCACCCGTTCTCCAGTGTCACCCGCTCTGCGGGACAGGCTCAGGCCTGTAAGCTAAGCTGCCCGAATCGCTGTAGAAGCGACCGAAGCGTGACTTCCTCATCACAGCAGGCACTCTTCTGGGCACTGTCGTAGATTTCTTGATTGCAGCCTCCTCTTGAAACCAAATTGCACGATCTCGAACTGGTGCATGCGGACGTCATCAACTGTGAACTGGTGTATCAACCATTAGCATTAGCAAGGATACCTTGGAGCTTAGCTGAGAATAATTTTGCGCTGCTATGTAGACGGACCTTACGCCTATCAATAATTACTTCTCAACTCCGTCCTCTTCGAAGGTATCGTCCACCTTAGCTAGCATGAAGTGTTGAAATGGCGGCAGCCCGGGTTAGGGGGTAGGGTGGGTAGTATTTTATTTGGGGATACTATGGTACCCAATACTGAGTAAGATTCTAGCCTCCTTTTGGGGTATAGTATTTTATAGAAGGAATATGGTGTGTTGCGCATTTCGGTGTTCCGTCTCATCAACAGCCTAAGTGAATCTGGCTGAACATCTGCACCTGACGTGGGGCCAAGGCCAGGTCCCCAAATCCTATAGTCCCCCTTTAAGTAGAT